TTGGTATTACACTTTCATAAGAAAGAAAATAAAAAAGTAAAACAAAATCAAAATAATGAAGTTTTCTATGAAAAAATGAAACCATTTAAGAAGAAATGAAAAAAACTTTAAAAATTAATGGATAGTGACATAAAAACTACCCTTACAAAATCAAATAAATAAATAATGAAGTTTTGTAAGGAAGAATGAATTCCTGACATTGGTATTACCCTTTCAGAAGAAAGAAAGAAAAAAGTGAAACAAAATCAAAATAATGAAGTTTTCTATGAAAACTGAAACCCTTTAAGAAAGAAAATTGAAAAAAAACTTGCAAATAATTTTGCACTAAAATTGCACTTCTGAAATTATGCAAAGAATAAGCATATAATGTTGCATTTTTTGCATTCTACTATAATTTGCTCATTTATTATCTAGTACTTGCATATATGCTTACACACACAAAAATAAAAATAATGCGCTTCCTAAGACGGAATGAATTAGTGAAATTGGCATTACCCTTTAAGAGGAAAGAAGTGAAAAAAATCAAAATTGTAATTTCTAAGGAAGAATGAATTTGTGGCATTGGTATAGCCATTTAAGAAGAAAGAAAATGGGGAAAATTTCTAAGAACATAAGCATTGGTATAGCCATTTAAGGGTGGCATCATTTGCACAAAATATACATAAAAATTGTGCTTTTTAAAAATATGCAAACATAAGCATATAAATGTGAGAGACTTCTGCAAAAAAAATCTAAGAACGGATGAATTAGTGGCATTGGTATTACCCTTAATGTAGAATGAAAATTAAATAAAAAATAAAATAATATCAAAATAATAAATTTTCTAATAAAGAATGAATTAGTGGTGTTGTTATTTTCCTTTAAAAAGAAATAAAAATAAAAACTTGCACACAACTTTGCATGAAAATTGAACTTTCTGTAATATGCAAAAAGTAATCATATAAAAGTGAAATTTTGGCACATATTAATATTATTTACATGTATATGTTTACACTCACTCAACATCCCAAAAATACTCACAAAATAAAAAAATAAAAATGAACTAATAAACAAAAAATAAAAAACAGAAGCAAAAACACATAAAAACATAAAACAGGGAAAATAAGAAGACTATGTCGCACTAGAATGGGCTTCGGCCTGTTAAAGAATTGATTGACCCAAATATTGGGTCAGTAAAAAGGAAAAACAGCCCACAACAACACACAGACCAACACAAAAAAAAAAGTTACATGAATCTTAATGCTGAAATCGACAGTTCAAAAATCAACTGACCCAAAATTAATTTTCAGACGGCTTATATATAGCTAAAGTGAAAATGTATACATAGGAAGTGGTGTGCCCCAAACAATAGGAACCCATGTTTATATATACTAGAGGGTGACGATCACGTTGTCGTGCCTTTCCTCGGTCATAAGTTAAGTCTTTTTACCGCGGGCTATTATGGTTCGGAGTGGGCACCTTTACCCCGAAAGTTGAATATCGGGGAACCAAACTGAGTTGACTGACATTCCAGATTTATTCAGTTTATTATGGTGTTCAGTTCGGTGTTCCGGTTGCTGGTTCTTTGATATTCAGGTGTATCGTCTATTTCTTTTTTTTAACCCCTCCCATATATTAATTAATTAAAAATGTTCATACAATCGTCTATTACAATTTCAGCCACGCAGGGCGGAACACTATTAAGACTCACACCATCAGACCTATTAACAAAACTGAATTTAGCAATTTCATGCGCCACCCTATTGGCCCTTCTGTTAATCTTGAAAATCTTGAAACTTGTCATCAACCTAGAAATACTCAATGCTTCCATCTTCAGATCAGCTAGGGAAGACCTGTCCAAATAATCATTTCCTAGAAAGGAAGCCACAAAAGAACAATCAGTTTCTAAGATGATGGGCTTGTGTAGAGTAATACCGATGTAAAGCCCTGCGAGGGTCGCTCTAAGTTCCGCTTCATCCACGCTATTGCAAACCCCAATATAATCCCATGAGGAAATGATCACTTCTCTCAAATGATTCCTGGCAACCACACCCACACTTGCAAAACTAATGGCATCCACAAAGCTTGCATCACCATTAACCTTAATGGACTCCGAGTCGGGTGGCTGCCAATTCACAACTTTTTCTTTCACTTCAATGGTATCATAAAACCCATCAACCCTTTTCTTACCTTTGTTGGTGACCTTTATCTTCCTATTGGTATGACAGAACGAGAAGGACCCCCAGTAGTTTTGAATAAAGCTCACAGAGGTAGAGATAGTTTCCTTTCTCTTACCAAAGATCAAGTCATTCCTCAGGTGCCATGCCCTTCAAAACATGAATATAACTTGCTCATGCACCGGCGACGTTAACTGCTCCAATAAAATAAGTAGCCAATCCGACCCTGAAAAATTAAATATCTCATCATCTGGTAAGTTCCATACCTCCCTTACCGCCATACGGAGCGCCCGCGCCTTGGGACATCTCACCAGAGCATGAAACACACATTCATCTTCGACGCCACAAATCAAACATAAGCCAATGGTAGTTTATGGTGTTTAACCCTGTTAACTTGAACCGCCAAACTATTAGTACCAGTACGCCAAGCAAAAATTCCGATTTTCTGAGGGACTTGAGCCTTCCAAATAATGTTCCAAAGCCTCCTTTCTCCATTCCCAGCATCACTAGAGCTCCCCGTCTCACTTTTATTGTTCTTCAAATTCAGCGCCAGCATGTACGCACTTTTAACCGAGAACATTCCATTTTTCTCATAGTGCCAAGCAATAAAATCTTCCTCACCTACAGTCGGAATACGTAACTTTAAAATTTCCTCGGCATCATAAGAATAAAACAAAGCATGCATATATATATACTAAACTGACCATATACACCAAAATGGATATTTCTTTTCTCTAACTTCCCTACATTGTTGGCACGTGTAGGCATGACCAAGGCCTATGAACGATGCGTGTCCGGCTGTCCGCACAATTGATCCACTCCCTGACATGTGGAGCCACTAAGGCAAAAACAGCCTTGATACATCAGAAGGCTCCATGTCCAACGGGATTAGAATCTGTGGGGACGTCATCTTGCCTTCTCCAACTGCACTGGTGAAGGCCATCGCGAAAAAAAAAACTGCACTGGTGAAGGATCCACCCTCCAAACTCATCAAGTTCCATCTATGCAAAGCCACACCTGAAAGGCTGAAAGTATTCCATGTATTTCTCATACCCCATCCTGTACAACAACTTTATGTCAAATCACTTTCATATTGCATTTTGATCCAAAATTGAGTGGAATGGTCGAAATATTTGTTAGTTTTTTCTAAAATTGAGTGAAATAGTTGAAACTTGTTTTCATTTTTTCTGAAATAATTGGAATATGAGTCTAATGTATGTGAAATAATCACATCTAAAATGCATGTGTATATTATAAGAATTTGGGTGAAATAATCGAAGTATGTGTTCAACTTTTCTGGAATTGAGTGAAATAATCTAAATATGTGTTCAATTTTGTTGGAATTGAGTGAAATAATTGAAACTTTTGTTCAATTTAATTTTGACACAATTTAATGTTTAGGCAACTGATTTAAAAAATTGATAGAATTGATAGAAAGAATTGAAATAAATTTTGGAGTCACATTTCACAAGTTTAGTTTCACAAACAAACAAAAAAGATATAAGTGAATAATCAGAATATGTGTTTGGTTTCAGTTGAAACCGTGTAATGTCTGTGAATCCAATTTCAAATTTCCCCCCTTTTGAATAGGAAACCGCTGAGGCCTTGTTTGGTTCACTTAAAAAGGTTCGGATTGTGTGCCACGGGATCAGAGCTCGTCTTCTTCTTCTTTGCAAATATCCACTCCCAACTTTTTTTATCTGCTCGTCACGTAGAATCAATACAGTACTCGTGTTAGAGTAACGGGTGCATCTCTTCTGTTCGTTTCTAATCTAACGGCTGTGAATGGTGGAGAAGCTAGATAGACACACCTAGTGGTACCAAAAAGAAACAGTATTCAAGCAAACCTCCCGAAGCATGTATTAGTGTGATGTTTTTTCTTTTTTGCAAAAAGAAGTATGTATTGGTGTTCAGTTGGAAGCCACATGCCACAACTAAGTGGACGCGGAGTATCTTAGCTCCAGCTCAAATGAGCTCGTGTGAACAGTAAAATTTAAAAAAATGAAATAAAATTTGGCAAAAATTGATGAATATTTTGTGTGCTTGCAAAGTTTCATCATGTAATAACATTCGTGTAACTCATGGAAAAAAAATCAGAGGTCCAAAAATGCTATTTTCCGAAAGCAGCTTGGAGCATCGATTTTGTTATTTTTTGGCACAACTTCCACAAATGTCACTTCGTAATGGAACTTCATAAGCACTAAAAATTTCCACCAATGTTTGCCACAAAAAAATCAATTTTTTTTAAATTTACAGCTCAAGCTAAGAAGCGGGACTTCCATTCACAAGTCAGCTTGTTTTCATTGTAACTTGGTTTTCACCAGATATTTTCTCCGGTCCTGACATCTTGTTCACTGCGATTTTCTAGAACATTTTGCACCTGCAAACTCAAAGAGTCTTAAGCAACCCTAAGATTATTAGGTTTGCCTAGAGATTTTGATATGATAACATTAAATTCAAAAGGATAGATTTCAGCCTTCAGAGTGCCTTTTTTCCCTCCCCAAAAGGTAGATACAAGACCTGCGTAGGTGATTTCTTTGTTGGGTCAAGATAATTCAGTTCCACACATCCACACCCCTGACTTACTTTTCAGCTCGATACAGGCGAGTTTCGCTTCGCTGCATAATGTCACCACGTTTCTTCATGTTACACGACAATTCCAGAACATCCACCAAACAAGCACAATAACAGTCACATCTTCTTGACACAAACAAGTATGATAGATACATTTCCTGGGTATGCCGCCCGCATTTCTTCAGATTGTGCAATGGTTGGCATTCGGGGATAAGGTAGGGGGCGCAAGCCAGAAGCAAAGCACGTAGCAGGCCCGCCCACCCGCCCGCCTTACTTGCACCTTGGGAAATGGGTGTTATCGACATAGCCTCCCGACATCGCCATTTGGACGTTTCTCTGGAACTTCTGCGGGTTGTCTCGGAGGACGGCCGCGGCTTCATGATTCAATGGGTCCTCGTCATTGGGTTGCTGCAGACATTAACAAGATGGTTTGTGACCAGAACACATGATGAGAAAACAAAACAGAAACAATTACTTCAATTATTCCCAGACATCTAATAAATTTCATAAGAAAACAAACAGATAAACTACATTTCAAATGGAAAATCAACCATTGCACAGTTAACCTAATAGGATATGATGACACTTACCGAGAAAAGAAGGTTTAAACCATATATTATGGTGTTGATATTCAAGACGGGCTTCCAGTCTTCACGCAGAATGTTCAGGCAGACATTTCCTTCTAGGTCAATATTGGGATGGTAAACCTGAAAGTTACCACATTAGCAACAGTCAACTTATGATGATGAACGAAAGGAGTCAAAGCTGTGGTGCTTACCTTAGTCTTGCACTTGACCTTCGGTGCCTCATGAGGGTAGGAAGGAGAAACTTGGAAGGTGAAAGTGAATGACCCACCTCTAAGAAAGAAAACATATTGTGGATATTAGAATAACTGACTAATATTGTTTTCATCAACTGATAAGGTTAATATATCTCTATGGTGATGGGCCTTGGTTCATCAAGGTAACCAGATAACTACTGTACAAAGGTGGGGCCAGTCTGCACCGCTCCAGGGGAGGGATATAGGAGAAAGATGAGACTGTAAGAAAGACCTTACATGAGAGAATGGTTTCCCTTATTCTTGCTTCATGCAAACCATAAGACTAACTCTTCTTACAAGAGTTGCTAGAAAAACATAAAGACACAAAATGCTTCTAAGAAAATAAGGAAGATAACTAACACAAGTAAATATCTTATATGAGAACTAGCTATCATCTGCTGCTTTTACAGCTCGATTGGGGCTACGTGTACACATGACAGCTTATAGGTGATCCATTTTCACATCCCCGTATCTACATTTTAGGTAAATACTTCTTCATCAACTATAAAGGGGGCCAACAAAAGTAAGTTCTCTCACCTTAAGAAAACTGAATTAGTAGTGAAAAGATGAGATATGATGGCCAGAGGAGTGGGACGTGAATGATATCGAAATGATGAAAAATAAACTAATTTAACAGTAGTCATCAACTGCTCCTCATATTCTATTTATAGTAAGTACTATAAATGGAATAATCTTTCTTCATGCTATGTCAAGAGATATTTGCGGAAGGTGTGATTTAACTGTAAAATAAAACTAACTTGATTTCTCTTATTAACTCATATTCATCAACAAATATTCCTTCAAACACGTACACCAAAATGCAAGACTGAAATTTGTTAACAGCCATCTAAAACTACCTATCCCTCCATTTATGTGGCAACTAGCAACAGTGCATGTTTTTAAGTAGCTTGACTGTTCAGTGAAGATTACTATGGCATGACAAAAGGACAAAAAGAAGAGTAGGTATAAAAGAAGTATCTATAATAAGATACTTACAGATAGTATCCTTCGTCAGGTCGTAGAGTAGCTTCAAAGTTCATGAGATCATCCTTTCCGTTTGGGAAGGAAATTTTAGTTGTCTTTGGTAGGTTAAGCTCAGCAATATCTGCGAGTTAGGACAGAAACTGTCAACAAGATCCATATTTTGAAAACTATCCAATTAGAAAGGCACGATATAGATCATGTACATAAATCAGGAACACATGAACCTATAGGTGAATGTTAACACCACAGGTTTGAACGATAGAAAAATCACAGTGTTTGATTTTTAATATGTAAGTATGTCCATAGTGAATTGTATTTCTCGTATCCAACTGTAGTTAAAATAGTGCGTTTGAGACAATAAGATATCTGGGTCTTCCTTATAAAGAACTACTCCCTCTGTCCCATAATATAAGAACATTTTTCAAGCTAAAATAGCTTGAAAAGCGTTCTTATATTATGGGGCGGAGGGAGTATTAGTCATAAACAATAGTACTAACGACAATTAGGCGATGCCAAACCAAAAAGGAAAACAGGGGATTGATGTGCCACCCAGGCACCCACTAGGCAACTACTATCACTCAGCATACTACCCCAACAAACTCAAGCCTGCACCCTCTCTACTCTCATACCCATTGCCAAGTGCCACCACCACCTTCGGTGCCCTACTACCCACAACTTCAGCCATGTTGCCAGCTCATCCTCTCCTCCACGCCCTCCCATGCCCCACCATATCCCTTCGGCCCTGCTCCTGCTGCTGCTCCACCTCAATTCTCAAACTGTCGTAAGCAGGCCTAGAGACAAGCCTGACTATGGGCAAGACAGCTCCATCATAACCAAATACAGTGGCAAGGAGAACGTGGTGGGGTCCAGATTGCTGAACACGCCGCCAATTCTCTTGTTTCGCCACTTCCCCATGACCTCCAGGCTAGACAAGAGGCCATGGCGTCCCTCCTCTGGACCAGGATGACTAGGTGGCAACTATGTGTTGACTGGGCGACAGTGTGACAACTAATAACTATATTATGCAAGTTAAACAAAAAGAAGAACAAACAGATCATAATCATTGGTACAGAGATTTCCCAATTTTCCACACACATGAACAATAGCCCATGAAATGGTGGGTCAATAACCGGTAGAAGCTCAGCCAATATGGCAACAGAGCTTATACAGAAAGGTAACATATTTTTTTTGACATGGAAAAGGTATAGCAGTATCTAGACCAGTACAACCAAACAGACCCCTTTGAATTACAAGATTAGTCAATTACATAAAAAATAAGGGGTAATATGTACATAATTTCCTCAAAATATAAATGTCAAAAAGCAGTTGAGTAATCTACTTTTTTTTTGCGAAAAGAGTCCCCTACTCATTAATCACGCCAAATCTGAAGTGGTTTTCTTGCCCTCGCCCACACATTAATTAGCCACGAATTAATTTTCACCGTTGAATGGGCATTGGCAGGGAGCGACATGCGCTCTGGACATTTCCTCAAAATATAAATGTCAAAAAGCAGTTGAGTAATCTACTTTTTTTTTGCGAAAAGAGTCCCCTACTCATTAATCACGCCAAATCTGAAGTGGTTTTTCTTGCCCTCGCCCACACATTAATTAGCCACAAATTAATTTTCACCGTTGAATGGGCATTGGCAGGGAGCGACATGCGCTCTGGACATTTCCTCAAAATATAAATGTCAAAAAGCAGTTGAGTAATCTACTTTTTTTTTGTGAAAAGAGTCCCCTACTCATTAATCACGCCAAATCTGAAGTGGTTTTCTTGCCCTCGCCCACACATTAATTAGCCACGAATTAATTTTCACCGTTGAATGGGCATTGGCAGGGAGCGACATGCGCTCTGGACCGCTGGATGCAGGAGGCCAAGGACCAGCCAATTAACTGCTGCATGCATGAGTAATATATGTGCGTTGATTGGCTTCTTTTACGAAGGCAACCAATCGTTTGGGAGAGTTAACTGCCCATCTTGGGCCGCAGTGCATCTGTGCATGGCCCTCCCGCCTATATTCCCATCCGGAGGGAGTCATACATTTGTAATGAGAAACGAAAAAAAACATGACATGCTTACAGGGCGATGTAAATGCACACGGTTGCAAGAAATGGATTTCAGCCTAGCACTTACCAATACACAATGTATAGCATGTCACTGTGGTGGATTATGATAATCTCATTTGTTTGACCACTGGCTAGTGGTTTTAATCCTAACTATAATATAAGGTGCTCTCCAATATATTTTTGTTATATAGAACATATGGGATGAATCGAAAAGACTCAGAGGGCAGCAGTCGATAACTGTAATTAACCACTCTGATTTATCATACATATGAATATACGTTCCGCAGCAGCTATAGAAGCAGGTGCAAAAACCACAAGTTGAACCACACATCAAGTGTCAACATTAGGAAGTTACACACCAATTGCCAGAAAGTAACATAAGATCAAATCACTTGTGGTAAAACAAACCTTTATGGAGACGTAATTCCCCTGGACTTTGCTTCTTAACAGGAGGCCCCCCATTTGAGTTGGCCGCCTCTTCCTTCTTCTGCCCCTTGATCTTAAAAAGGTTTATCATCTTCCTGTGAAACATATGAGGGGAGGAGGTAACGAGCATGAGCTAAAGAGAGCAGACTTTTCGTAGGAACAAAAATGACAAAAACAAGAAAAGCACCATTCAAGCATAAGAATGGTTTTACACACAAACATGTAGAAACGATGCAGCAGAAATCAACAGAAGCAGGTTGGTTCTCTTTAATTACTGCGTTCCATCGATAACAAGTGTGATGTTGTCAACCTATTCAGCCCTGATGGCACTAGCAACGACGATTGCCCAGAAGATAAAACAAAAGAAACCAATCCTAACAACATAGTTAACTCAGAGATTAGTTTAATATCATGACTAGCCTGCACTATCGAGTTCCTTATCTTTGTAGGATTAGCTTGTGAAGTTTTATGGTCAGGTTAACCATGACGGACCGTCAACCCTCTTAATCTAACACTTGTGCGGCGTTACGCCTAAACTCTTCTCGTCTCGGGCGAATCCCATCTATTGTCGCGGTTATTTGGAAGAGCCTCTCCCGAGGGCTTTTGCGTCCATTGGGACTTGACTGGGAACCGACGCGGCCTACTGCCAGCTCCTGCCCTACGCCCCTACCTCCTGTATAATATACTAGATCCTAACACAGCATGCATCCCGAAATCGTCCTCTCCGGCCATCTCCTCTAATCGACTCGTCATGCGAAATCGTGGGGCGGCAAACAGCTGCAGCAGTGGCATGGGGCGCTAACTCCGACAGCAACGCAACAGCGACGGGGTAAGCAGCGGCGAGTTCATACAGCGGCACGGCACAGATCGGCATACAGAAGCGCGACCAGAGGGGGGCAGAGGAAGTACCGGCGGCCCGGCGGCGGGGCCCGAGGTCGAGGGGCGCGGATCCGGAGCGGCGAGCGGCCGGAGCGGGCGTGGGCGGCGGCGGGGAGAGGATCGGCGGGCGGGCGGCGACCGGCGGGGAGGCGCGAACCCTAGATAGCTCGGTCGGTCTCCTCGCTCGCGGTCGCGGTGGGGCGCCGTGTGGGGGGCGGAAGTGAAATAGGGGAGACGAGGGGAAGAAGGGAGGTGCGGTGGCAGTCCGGCCGTAGTTTTGCGGCAAGTAGGAGGGCACTTCGGGTAGGGACGAGGCCAAAGCAATCATTTTTTTTTTTTTTGAAACGGAAGGCCAAAGCAATCATCAATGCTCTTCTTTCTCCGGATTCCAATACCCAGTTATTATTTATATCAGATTCTCTTTTATTTGGCCAGACAAAACCGAAAGGCCAATATGATAGATAAGGTTTGGCTCTGACGGCCTCAGCCAAGAAAAAAAACTACAATCAAGACAGAAGAATCCCCCCAGTTTGACCTTTTTTCTCCCAAAAGAAAAAACAATACCCATATTTCAAACGCGGGATTATCATGCATCATTGTATATCAACAATGCAATATCATGTCACCCAGACTTGCAATCAGATCAGATTGTGTTTGGATGTTAGAAATCGGTTACCATGTCGAGGCTAACTGAAAATTTAGTACCTCCCCGATCAAGAAAAGACTGCCAAGTAAGTTGGGGTGGAGGGAGTATTCATCTCTGGCATATATGCATGTTGATTTGCGACATGTAAACCCATGCATTCTCAAGTAAACCGATTAACATACATGAATGCAAATAGTACTAGTTCAACATATCAAGCTTTTGGTCAGAATACACGAATATCATTAATTTTACATATGTATGCACTTACGTTTGGTTCATGAAGAATACCTATTTTGCCTCCTTGTTTTGGTTACAAGGCCGCAATTGCTTGCGTGAACGACACATTTCGAATTCAGCCACACCATTGAAAATTCATTGCATCAAGATTCCGTGTATTTTTCCTAGAGCACATTGCCACATATTAATTCTTGGATGCGCTATTTATGAAGGAATTAATCCCTAATTCTACATAGTAGACCGGAAAGACCAAAAACCATAAGTTGCGAAATTTATTGGAGAAAAGGAAGTCAAGCTGAAAAATAGAAAGATGCAAAGTTGGGTTACTACAACGTAAATTTAGCATTAATTAGCTTATATTTTTAAGATGACAGGTGGCTTTGTCGGTAATTACAAAATCTAGTTATATCCTACAACACGGTTCCATTTTTTGGTACATATTTCTCTCAGATTCTTATTTTTATTGTTACTTTTTACTAGAAGGCATGAAAGTTGTGGTTCGAGAAACAAATAATAATAAGATGGTGTATAAACACTAAATAATAATAGTTGTCGGCATGGTAGAAGAAAAATCAACAACACAATTCCATGAGACGCATGGTTCCACACTTCAACAACATTATACATGTGCGTAATTGCTACTTACTCCATTACATAATTCTTGTGGTGGTTTTAATTCAAATAGTAACATATTCAACATGACCGAGTTACCAAACAACGACCAAGGAAACAGTACAGCTTAGATTTAAGCACCCACAATCATAGAGGAGAGCATGCAAACATTATTTATCTGGATTGGAGATCTACAGTTTGTAGAGGAAACAAATCAGGGCAGCTAAAACTCATCAGACATTATACTATTATTACGAGCGAACACATGATATGCAAGGATCAAAAATCAAAACTGGAACTCTCAAGCGTGATGGTGAAGGAATGACACACGGATACTTCTATAAGCTTCCTTACTTCGCAGCATCGTAAAGGAGGTGGAGCAGGGCTGCAGCTGCTACACCATGAGCGTGTTTGGTTGCAGTTTGCAACAGTAGTTGCATTGCATGTCCATCTCTAGTCAGCCTGGTTGCTGAAAAACAGCCTCATATGCAGCAGATGCAACCTGTTTGGTTGCCTGCATCGCATCGAGAAGCACTTACCCCCTGCTGTTTGGTTGCCCGCATTTGTGCTTAGAGTGTGAGCAGATGCAAACTTCAGCTGTTTGATTGCAATTAGCGTTTGTGTTCTGCTCATCCCATTCAAATGTGGTGGTCTTACCACCACACATGATCAACACAACAGCAACATCACAACAACAAGATCAAACAAAGCAAGCAATATAATGACAGCAAACTTAACACAGCAAACTACTTAACTAGATAGCATAAGTCTAGATTAAGAGCAGGGGCATTCTCCTTACCTGTTGTGCCAAGGTGTTGCTCCTAGCCAAAATATGAATAAGTTCCCAGCACAAGTCTCGCCACACACCCTAAAAGTTCTCCACTAACACCTGACTTAACTTAAATACATAGCATGCTCGATGCCACCAAGGCAGTTGTGCCTGCTGCAACGATACCTGCACATCACCGACGAGTCGTGGTTATAGATCTGAACCTTCAGTCCGAGTCCGGAGATGCGCACAATGATGAGGTCGTCGGGGACGATGCGATGGCGGCGGCAGAAGTAGTTCCACCCCGGCCAAGCACCATCTGGCCCTCGAAGTTCTGGACCTGCACCCATAACACGCACCCCTTGTTGGCTGAGAGCCTGACCACACGCGGGAGTCGCTTGATGACCAGCCAGGTGTTCATCACCTCCACGAACTTTGGAGGGACGACGAGCATGACGAGGTCCTCGTTGTCCTTGATCTGCTGGTAGAATATCATCGGCTCCCTGGCTCCCTCATCGTGGCCCTGCCTCGAAGATAGTCCCCTTAAACGAGGCACGCTCATGAAGGCGATCCTGCCAGGCAGGTCCACCGTCCTGAGCAACCTGTTCGTGGGGATGAAATCCTCGGCGCGCTCAGCTCCGACCACGACCTGAGCTCCTCCACCCGCCATATCCCAGTCAGTCTTCAGTATCTTGTCAGACAACATGACAAGTATTAGTATCAAATAAAGCAAGCAAGCAAGCAAACAAGCAAGTGCCACTGATCAATGGCATGTGCTCATGGCCAAATGGCAATGATCAGTGGCACTTGGTGTTGGGCAAGAGCACTAATCTACTTGCTGTAGTGCAAATGGCACTGATCAATGACACTGATCAGTGACTTGCCCAATAGCAAGTGCCATTGATAAGTGCCATTTTGCCCAACAGCAAGTGCCATTGATAAGTGCCATTTTACCCAACAGCAAGTGGACAAATGCCACTTATCAATGACACTTGTTGTTGGGCAAGTCACTGATCAGTGGCATCTTCTTTGCTGCAACTGGCACTGATCACTACACTATCCTAAACAAGGAAACATCTAAAAATAACAACAGCAAGTGCCAATAGCACCCATGTGGAGCCATGCAGATTTGGAACCATCCTAAAATGGTCCTACTACATGCACGTATAACATCCACTCATGGCATAAACCCTAGTTTCAACATGCAACATGAAACAAGGACATGATCCTAACATGAACATGCCATCAGTCAGCATGATTCTAGTATTCATCACTCAACATGAACATGATTCTACCATGAACACAACTACTAGCATGTAGCACAAATCTAGCATGTAGTAGGACTCAGACTAGCATGATTCTAGGATTCTAGCATGAACATGAATCTAGCATGTAACACAGCTACTAGCATTCTAGCATGAACACAAGCAGTAGCACACGCACTGTACAAGACAAGAACAGATCAGCATATGGGTCAGATTTTTTCACTTTCAAATCTTGATCTACCCAGAACCTCAGTATAGCTGGCGCCTCGAATTAATTTAACAACTTGCAAACGATAAGCAACACTTCTTGAGTTACATAACATCCCTGATAGATCCAGTACAAACTAACTGCAATTAACATACTACTGTAGTGGAACATACTACAGCTCATTCACATCAAGATCACAAGCTACAAACTAACTGTATTGAACATACTATAGCTCATTCAGATCAAGATCACAAGTTACATCATGGAGTAGGACGTACTTAGCGAATTAAGTTCCGTGCAGGTTTAGCAATGCTGAAAGAACATGCATATTCTACACAGGATAGCTGACAGGTCATGCAAACCAATTAGATCATGATGGGAAAAAATCGACATGCCACCTCAGTTTCTTTACCTGCCCAGCTATCAAGGTTTACCTCCTTCATAACATTGGAGGGAGTTCTATCAGATAGTGGGCAAGTTTTCGACAGATATTTAGTTCTGTACTAACATGATT